ATATATTATAAACAACAGAGGTCCCAGGACAGAGCCTTGAGGCACTCCACTTACAACATTTTCCCACTCTGACTTGATTCCATTTATACTAACTCTCTGTTTCCTTTGGTATAGCCATGCCCTAATCCAGCTTAATATAGCACCCCCAATACCATGAGACTCTATTTTTTTAATCAGTCTTTCATGTGGCACTGTATCAAAAGCTTTGCTAAAGTCAAGGTATACAACATCGCAATCCTTACCACTATCAACTGCCTCAACAATGCTAGAATAAAAAGATAACAAATTTGTTAAACATGAACGGCCATTTATAAAACCATGTTGCGACTCAATTATTAATTTATGTTTTTCAAGATGAAGACGAATTTTATTTGCTATTATAGATTCGAGTAACTTTCCCACAATAGACGTTAGGCTAATTGGTCGATAGTTAGACGCAAGTGATCTATCTCCTTTCTTAAAAACTGGTATCACATTAGCAACTTTCCAAAACTCTGGCACTCTGCCTGACTCTATTGATTTATTAAATATGGTTGACAGTGGGTCACAAAGCTCCTCTTTGCATTCTTTAAGCACCCTAGCAAACACTTCATCCGGCCCTGGGGATTTGTTTGGTTTGAGTTTTACTATTTGTTTAAGAACATCCTCCCTGGTAACTGCTAAACTCGTCAACCTGTCCTCGTCCCCACCCACATAGACTTGTTCGGCTGAAGGCATATTGTTAAGTTCCTCTTTAGTAAATACAGATACAAAATATTATTAAAAATACTACTCATCTCTTCATCACTATCTGTTATTTGACCTGTCTCAGTTTTTAATGGACCTATCCTTTCCCTAGTCTTAGTACGATATAACTGAAAAAACCCTTTAGGATTTGTCTTTGCTTGCCCTGCTATGCGAACTTCATAGTTTCTTTTTGCTTTCCTTATCTCTTTTTTTAACATTTCTAACCAGTTGTACGAATTCCTGTTCTAAAGTGACCTCCCCATTTTTAATCCTTTTGTACCAAGCTCTCTTTTACCTATAAGGTTCTTCAAATTCTTTGTTATCCACTTTGGGTCATTAGTATACGATCTATTCAATTTGTATGGTATACTACGTTCCTGTGCTTTGTTTAGAATATTCTTAAATAAGTTATTTATTGAATCCACATCGAAATCCCCATTTAAGTCACCTATCGCTGGGTTCATGTCTCGCTCCAAGACCGGCCCACACCCCATACCCAAGCCTTTCCAATCAATTTGACCCAAAAAATTTCTTAGGCTATTAAAATCAGCTTTTCGAAAATCTGGCACTTTAACAGAATTTTCTCCTACTGGTCTATTCCATTCTATGCTAAATCTGATTTCTTTGTGATCACTGCTCCCTAGCTCACTCCCTATTTCGATGTCATTAATTTGCGTTTCCCTGTTAGTTAACACTAAATCTAAAATATTATTTTCCCGTGTTGGTTCCTTAATGTGTTGCGTAAGAAAGCAATCGTCAATTAATTCTAGAAAATCTTCTGCTTCACTATTCCCTGTTTTGTTCAACCAGTTTATTCCGCTAAAATTAAAGTCACCCATGACATAAATACTGTTAGATCTAGATGCTCTAGATATTTCATCCCATAGATGCTTTGCTTCCATTCTGTCTAAATTTGGTGGCCTATATATTACTCCTATTATAATATTATTAGCTTTTTCGTTTAATTCAATCCAAATAGTTTCTGTGTGTGGCTCTGTTTTGATTCCCTCTTTGAGACTACATTTCAAATTATCCCTAACATATATGGCTACTCCACCTCCTCGTCTAATATATCTATCTGTGTGAAATAGTTTAAATCCATATATTTGATATTCAGCTAATAGTTCTCTATTTTCTACATTCATCCACGTTTCGGTAAGTGCAATAATATCTATTTTTTCTGTGCAGACAAGAGCATTTAATTCGTTAATTTTATTTCTTAGACTTCTACTGTTAGTGTAATATACCCTAAGTGAATTGTTATTTTGCGGACCTTCTCTTTCCCTGATCGTTTTGCCAATTCCTTTCTCCCACAAACACATACTTTTATTTCCTCCTTCCTCCAAATCAATTCCCATACCTCTATCTACTAACAGTTTAAACCCAAACAAACACCTCAAACCACTTCTAGCGAGTTCGCAACAGCAACAACCCCAGCTCTCGATAGATGCACCCCATCACGAGCATACATTTCATTTCTTCCATAGAAGTGTTCCCAGTTGTCTATGAAAGATATTGCATTTGATTTGCAATATCTTTCCAGCCGGCAATTGACACCAAGTGCCCTCGATATCCATTCATTTCCCACTCCCTTTCTTGGAAGAATGCCACATATGATCGGGATTCCTCCCTTGCTCCTAACTAACTCTATGGCTGTTTTATACCTCTGAATCAGTTCCTCACTCCTGACTCGACCAACATCATTTCCTCCCACGCTAATGCAAATAATGGGATTGTTCCCATTACCAGCTTGTTGTTATTATGTCTCTCCTAACTTTTCTCTTTTTCCAGCGAGGAGAGGGATAATTCACGTAGCCTGCGCCCGTAATTCCTAGCTCGTAGTTCTGTCTTGAGGCAAACCTTTGAACCATCTCAAACGTCGTCTCGTGCTTGACTAAGTATGGACTTCACGTTCGAGCCACATACTCCAGGATTGGTCTGACATGTGTAGTATACAAGGTTCTAAAGGATTCCTTACATAGATTTCCTTAGTTGTGATGTTATCCAGCCTCGCATACCCCGCTGATGATATCGTTTTGATTTGGGCTTCAAGGGACATGTTCGGTGTGACATCATCCCCCAGGTCCTTCTCTCTGTCCGTTTCTTGGAGAATTTCGTCTCCCATTTCGTACCTTGTGGGCAGAAAAGGTCTTTATCAGACCTCGACGGAAATTACATTAAGAATTACATATGTCCTGCACACCTTATATTACAGTAAGCTAGTTACAGAGAATGTTCTATTTCAAGAGCTATATATTTACAGTTAATCATAATACATTAATGGTAGGTCTTATCGCTAATACATAATTGTTTGAGCAATGGAGATATTACAGTCATAGGGTAGTTACTGTTTATTATTAGTCTTCACAATACACTACTTGTTTCTTAATCTCATATGTCGTTTATCTACTGGAAGCGAAATATGGATACAGTGCAAGGATTTCAGGTATTTTATCCTTAGTAATAAAATGTTTACCATTTCATACAACGTGAGTTTAGATTTATCTCTATATGGCTAAATTTTACTACAGTCCAAGATGTAGTGTTCGAGTGTGTGTCCCTGTCTTTGTCCATTCAATTTACTTTATTTAGATCCCTATGCAAGCCTAACTGCCAGAGATACCTGGATACCTGTAGGCAAGTCTTTTAAGAGTTGTGACAACATCTGTTAGTCTACTGACTTTGTTACTTGCCCCATACACATGTTTTACTTAACACATTTCATTGTGATGAACAATGGACCTGCTAGTTCCAGTTTTCACTGTTATACTTTCTTCAAATTCACTCAAGAGTTCTCGTCTAATGACACTTTTAAAAACCCTTGAACTATATGTTTAACACTTATCTAACCCTGTCCATGGAGGACAGAAGAAAATGTATATATGCTGGTTGGCATTGTAAATGTGTGGCCACGGCTGTGGTAGAAAAAAAAATAATAAAAAAAGGGACCTATTTGATAACTCAAGATTACGTTCAATACTGTCTTTATTTACTGCAGCCTTAGCAAGGGCGTCAACTTTGTCATGTTCCTGCAGGCCAATGTGAGAAGGAATCCACAACATTTTTATATTTACCCTCTTGCTAAGTATTCTTATTTATCTATGTCTGGCTTCGGAGACAAGCACGATATTACTTGATTGCAAACTGTTTATTGCTCGTAGTGAGGATAGGGAGTCGAAAATAATTAAGCTGTCTACTTCAGTGTTGTCAATAATTTAGAGTGCTACCAGTATTGCTACCAACTCAACTTTCATTGTGGATGTCCAGTTACTCACTCTTATATTCCTTTAAATTGTGCTGCCATCGGGCTAATGAGCAATAACAGCCCTCCTGCCCTCCCTGTAGCTGTATTGAGTGATCCGTCAGTGTATATATGACCTGAGGGATGTTATTTTTAGTTGGTATATCGTGAATGTGTTCTAGGATACTTTAGCAGCAAGCAGAGCTGCCATGCCTTAACCCGTGCTGGTGACGCTACCTTGAGGTGCTTCCGGGGCTTAGCGTCCCCGTGGCCCGGTCGTCGACCAGGCCTCCTACAGGCCTACCTACAGGCCTCCTACAGGCCTACCAGGCTACACAGTTCCTTCTCTCCAGATGAGTTGCAAGGCTTTTTCTCAAAAGCTTCTCCAGTGTATCTAACTTGCATGATAGAGCAAGAACGCCAGTGGTTCTGGACACTGGTGATGTGAAGTGTGATGTGCAACAGGTGTGTGTGTGCTCGGAGAGGTATGCTATTCAGGACAGGTATATTACAGGTGTCTTACAAATTATAGAGGACAGGTGTTACAGGTCAAGTCATACGGTATTTAAGTATCTGTAAGCCGGTTCTCTTTCTCTCTGTGTTTTTCTCTAAGTTTATTTCTCAGTCTCTTTAATCTGTTTTTCCTCTTTCCAAGTCTGTTTCTCAGCTCTTTAAGTCTCTCTCTCTCTCTCTCTTTCTCTCTCTCTCTCTCTCTCTCTCTCTCTCTCTCTCTCTCTCTCTCTCTCTCTCTCTCTCTCTCTCTCTCTCTCTCTCTAATCGGTTTGTCAACCTCAAGGTATGCTTCTCTCTAAGAGTATTTCAATATCTCTAAATCTGTTTCTTTGTGTCTGTTTCTTTAAGTCTGTCTCTCTTTTAGTATCTTTGTCTTTCTAAATTGTTTCTTTCGCTCTCTGTTTTCTCCCAAGTCTATTTCTGTCTTTCCCTAAGTCTATCATTCTCACAGAATCTCTTCATTAATAAGAGTGAAAATTTCACCCCATGTCCTTATACATTTTCATTTTCAGTGCCAAAGTACAGTGTATTTACACCGAGGGTTGTGGGCGTGTCTGAGGCTAAACGCCACGCCCGCGCCACCGCCCAGCACGTGGGCGTGGGGCAAGGCGACACCCAAGAAACTGCCCAGGACACATTCCTTCAGTTCAACGCTCTGGGGCGGTCTTTCAACTTCAGGTGAGGTCTTCAGGTGTTTAATAAGGTAATTGAAATATGTTGATTGCAATGACCACCACAGTAGGGAAAAGTAGGCCAGAAGCCTAACGTTTTCATTTTTCCGACTAAAGGCTCCAGCAAGGGGGGATGTTTTCATTTTTTCGTATCATCATTCCCTCCCTTTCATCATTTATAATTTTCCAAACGTGAAAAAATTTTCCATCTATTTTCCATCATTGCTCCTTTTTCATCTTTTCTTCGTTCTTTTGTTATTAATATAATTTGTATACAAAAATATGAGCAATGAAGAATATGACTTGCAAGATGAACCAGCCACAACATTTCTGTCACCCGTCAACAGATTACTGCCCAACAGCGATCTCATATCTCCTGATTTCGTGGTGATCGGTCGTCATGGAGACAAGGCGGACATCCAAGAAGTGGACATTGATCAACTGGACTGTTACTACCAGGGGGTCGACGAGTCCCAGGGTCTCTACAACACCTCTATCGCTGTGGAACTCTGCGGCCAAGTGGTGAGTCGCTGCTATCACAGCCCCGAGATATATATATATATATATATATATATATATATATATATATATATATATATATATATATATTATATATATATATGCGAACAAGCCTGAATGGTCCCCAGGACAATATGCAACTGAAAACTCACACCCCAGAAGTGACTCGAACCCATACTCCCAGAAGCAACGCAACTGGTATGTACAAGACGCCTTAATCCACTTGACCATCACGACCGGACATAATGAGGTGATAGCCGAGGCTATTTGAACCACCCCACCGCCGGCACTCGGATAGTTATCTTGGGCATAGCATTTTACCAAATCACCTCATTCTTTGGGGCACACGTGAGGAACACAAATGCGAACAAGCCTGAATGGTCCCCAGGACAATATGCAACTGAAAACTCACACACCAGAAGTGACTCGAACCCATACTCCAGAAGCAACGCAACTGGTATGTACAAGACGCCTTAATCCACTTGACCATCACGACCGGACATAATGAGGTGATAGCCGAGGCTATTTGAACCACCCCACCGCCGGCACTCGGATAGTTATCTTGGGCATAGCATTTTACCAATGCTATGCATTTTTACCGGCTATCACCTCATTATGTCCGGTCGTGATGGTCAAGTGGATTAAGGCGTCTTGTACATACCAGTTGCGTTGCTTCTGGGAGTATGGGTTCGAGTCACTTCTGGGGTGTGAGTTTTCAGTTGCATATTGTCCTGGGGACCATTCAGGCTTGTTCGCATTTGTGTTCCTCACGTGTGCCCCAAAGAATGAGGTGATTTGGTAAAATGCTATGCCCAAGATAACTATCCGAGTGCCGGCGGTGGGGTGGTTCAAATAGCCTCGGCTATCACCTCATTATGTCCGGTCGTGATGGTCAAGTGGATTAAGGCGTCTTGTACATACCAGTTGCGTTGCTTCTGGGAGTATGGGTTCGAGTCACTTCTGGGGTGTGAGTTTTCAGTTATATATATATATATATATATATATATATATATATATATATATATATATATATATATATATATATATATATTATTAAATATGACCGAAAAAGTAAGATTAATAATTCTAACACGAATTTTCTCAATCTTTCGTGCATTACGCTTCACTGTTGGAGGTAAATCAAAAATCACTTCTCCAAAATTCATTTTTATTTCTAGTCTGACGCGACACGGGCGCGTTTCGTAAAACTTATTACATTTTCAAAGACTTCACAAATACACAACTGATTAGAACGTATCTCTGATTTTATATCTACATTTGAGTGAGGTGGGAAGGGTGATGTGGCATTAACACAAGACAGAACAATAGGGGATATTAATAGGGTATTAAAAGTATCAACACAAGACAGAACAGAAACAATGGGTATTGAATAGAAGTGTTTGTAGAAAGCCTATTGGTCCATATTTCTTGATGCTTCTATATTGGAGCGGAGTCTTGAGGTGGGTAGAATATAGTTGTGCAATAATTGGCTGTTGATTGCTGGTGTTGACTTCTTGATGTGTAGTGCCTCGCAAACGTCAAGCCGCCTGCTATCGCTGTATCTATCGATGATTTCTGTGTTGTTTACTAGGATTTCTCTGGCGATGGTTTGGTTATGGGAAGAGATTATATGTTCCTTAATGGAGCCCTGTTGCTTATGCATCGTTAAACGCCTAGAAAGAGATGTTGTTGTCTTGCCTATATACTGGGTTTTTTGGAGCTTACAGTCCCCAAGTGGGCATTTGAAGGCATAGACGACGTTAGTCTCTTTTAAAGCGTTCTGTTTTGTGTCTGGAGAGTTTCTCATGAGTAGGCTGGCCGTTTTTCTGGTTTTATAGTAAATCGTCAGTTGTATCCTCTGATTTTTGTCTGTAGGGATAACGTTTCTATTAACAATATCTTTCAGGACCCTTTCCTCCGTTTTATGAGCTGTGGAAAAGAAGTTCCTGTAAAATAGTCTAATAGGGGGTATAGGTGTTGTGTTAGTTGTCTCTTCGGAGGTTGCATGGCTTTTCACTTTCCTTCTTATGATGTCTTCGATGAAACCATTGGAGAAGCCGTTATTGACTAGGACCTGCCTTACCCTACAGAGTTCTTCGTCGACTTGCTTCCATTCTGAGCTGTGGCTGAGAGCACGGTCGACGTATGCGTTAACAACACTCCTCTTGTACCTGTCAGGGCAGTCGCTGTTGGCATTTAGGCACATTCCTATGTTTGTTTCCTTAGTGTAGACTGAAATGGCCCGGAAAGTAGAGTTGGAAATTCTGTTGGACGACATATTCGACCTCGAGACACAAAAGAAGGTCACTACCAAAGATACCTTACAAGCAGAACTTATTGCAGAAGGAGGAAAGAATCGAGGCAACTACAGAAGCACCATACTGTCCCCCGAGCTTAAAGCGGCAGCTAAAAGCCTTCGTGAGAACAAGGAGATAGTTGTCAGGAGAGGTGACAAGTCGCCAATATATGTCATTCTTAAAAAGACGAATATCTGGCGAAAATGAACATCATACTCTCTGACCAAACTAAGTTCCAAAGGGTAACGAAGGACACTACAGACGAATTAAAAGCAAAGGTCAACAAACTGATCGAAACTGTGAACGCCAAGAAATCCGGACTCCACCTGCCAAAGATCATTGGGGAATATAAACCTGGATATGCGTATGGAAATGTCAAGACGCACAAGCCTGGAAACCCACTTCGGCCAATCATTAGCCAGATACCCACACCCACGTACAGACTGGCGAAGCGACTCAACGGCCTGCTGACTCCTTATGTTCCTTGCGCCTTCAGCCTGAAGTCTCCAAAGGAATTTGTGGACTTACTGCGGGGCGCACGGGCCACAGGGATAAGAGCCTCGTTGGACGTAGAATCGCTGTTTACCAACGTACCTGTGGACGAGACAATCGGAATGATAGCCGACAGAGTGTATCGTGATCCAGCCTGTACTCCTCTTGACATGCCAGAAAGTATTCTGAGGAAACTACTCCAAGCTTGTACTAAAGAGGCACCCTTCTTGAGCCCGGATGGGCACATGTATAAGCAAGTAGATGGGGTCGCCATGGGTTCTCCCCTAGGTGTCCTGTTTGCAAACTTCTACATGGGTACCATCGAGCAAAAAGTCTTAGTCGACATGAACTTGAAACCGGCCATATACTGCAGGTATGTTGACGACATTTTTACACAGGTACCTGATGTCAGACATCTGCAGGAGCTGAAGGAGGCATTTGAGCAGAGTTCCGTGCTGCGTTTCACTTACGAGGCGGAAAAGGATGGGAAGCTGCCTTTTCTAGATGTAACAGTCATGGAAAAGGGCGGAGGTTTCCACACTGCAGTCTACACTAAGGAAACAAACATAGGAATGTGCCTAAATGCCAACAGCGACTGCCCTGACAGGTACAAGAGGAGTGTTGTTAACGCATACGTCGACCGTGCTCTCAGCCACAGCTCAGAATGGAAGCAAGTCGACGAAGAACTCTGTAGGGTAAGGCAGGTCCTAGTCAATAACGGCTTCTCCAATGGTTTCATCGAAGACATCATAAGAAGGAAAGTGAAAAGCCATGCAACCTCCGAAGAGACAACTAACACAACACCTATACCCCCTATTAGACTATTTTACAGGAACTTCTTTTCCACAGCTCATAAAACGGAGGAAAGGGTCCTGAAAGATATTGTTAATAGAAACGTTATCCCTACAGACAAAAATCAGAGGATACAACTGACGATTTACTATAAAACCAGAAAAACGGCCAGCCTACTCATGAGAAACTCTCCAGACACAAAACAGAACGCTTTAAAAGAGACTAACGTCGTCTATGCCTTCAAATGCCCACTTGGGGACTGTAAGCTCCAAAAAACCCAGTATATAGGCAAGACAACAACATCTCTTTCTAGGCGTTTAACGATGCATAAGCAACAGGGCTCCATTAAGGAACATATAATCTCTTCCCATAACCAAACCATCGCCAGAGAAATCCTAGTAAACAACACAGAAATCATCGATAGATACAGCGATAGCAGGCGGCTTGACGTTTGCGAGGCACTACACATCAAGAAGTCAACACCAGCAATCAACAGCCAATTATTGCACAACTATATTCTACCCACCTCAAGACTCCGCTCCAATATAGAAGCATCAAGAAATATGGACCAATAGGCTTTCTACAAACACTTCTATTCAATACCCATTGTTTCTGTTCTGTCTTGTGTTGATACTTTTAATACCCTATTAATATCCCCTATTGTTCTGTCTTGTGTTAATGCCACATCACCCTTCCCACCTCACTCAAATGTAGATATAAAATCAGAGAAACGCAAGTTCTAATCAGTTGTGTATTTGTGAAGTCTTTGAAAATGTAATAAGTTTTACGAAACGCGCCCGTGTCGCGTCAGACTAGAAATAAAAAATGAATTTTGGAGAAGTGATTTTTGATTTACCTCCAACAGTGAAGCGTAATATACGAAAGATTGAGAAAATTCGTGTTAGAATTATTAATCTTACTTTTTCGGTCATATTTAATAATATATATATATATATATATATATATATATATATATATATATATATATATATATATATATATATATAATATATATTATATATATAGAGAGAGAGTTGTATGAACATATTTAACTACTGTCAGTTACAGGTTAATGCGATGAAGTTTTTCAAGATATAGTTTACCATTGTTAGGGCACAATATACACCAAGTGGTGTATGTAACCCACTTCTCAGTATACATTCACCAAGAGTTTACCGTTGGAGTGTGTTCAGGACCAAAGTATACACTCTGGGCGGCCAATAAGTTATTATGGTGGCATTATTCCGGCCCCGACCACGGCGGTCTCCGGGTTTGGAGTCCCTGTGTTTTCTTTCACCAACTTAGAGGTCAACTCCGGAACTCTCAATTCATGCCACGGCGCTGGAACCAATCGTATTGGCGTTTACCTTTCCATTGAAGACTTTCGGCGCCGTGGAGAGAGGGGACCTGCTGCTTGGGTAACAGTTTCTCCGTCTTATTTAGCGCCCTCTGATTATCCCGCACATTTGATGGTGCTACATAGCCTTCCCAGTTTGGTGCCTTCTTTTTGGTAATTGATTACTTACCTCTCCGTCTCACCCTACCCTGGCTTTGCGCCCTGGTGAGGCCACTCTAGACCAACAACCAGAGCGTAACACCATAGTCTCCTGAGACTGATGGCTGTCTACTAATAACCATTCAGCAGTTGATACCGTTGTGCATGGGCAATAGGCTTCCCGACTTCCCGAGCCTTGAATAGGCTTCAAGGTTCCAGAAAAAGAGAAGATAGGTCAGCACTGTAGAGAGATGCTAAACTGACTCCTGGAACATTATTTAATATTGTGAAGTTACAAAGCAAAAAAATATAAACGGTAATTCAATCAGCACAGAAATTGTTAAATAAACCTTTCCTCTTGATTAATACATTTAATTTTGACGTCAAAATCCCAGTGGACAATATATAATGTACTATAAGTCACAACTCGCAAACAACCATGTTTTCTATGCGAGAGGCTTCCGTTAGGTTAGGTTCGGGCAATTTAGTACATCATTTTTGTGGCGTTGTGACAACTCGAGAAGACGGGCTGGTTAAACGCCTGTGGACATGAACATGTTGAAACTAACGTACCAGCCATAAACACATCCCACACCTAAGTCATAACACACATTCCACCACACATTCCACCAACACATTCCACTTCTAAGGAAGAATGAAATGAGTAACGTTAGAACACTGGAAAGATTTACTGAACAAAAATTATACCACTTACGGGCTATTCATGCCCGTGCCACCTCTTGGCAGGCTTTATCTTTATCAATCAATCGAATAACGCTTAGCGGGCCAGGCAGAGGCTCGAACCTAACCTTCCTGGTCCCGTGTCTACGTCTCTTCTGAGCATAATTCCTCTGTCTTGGTTTCTCTTTATGATTTAGACCTTTTGGCACACCCTTGTGCGCGCGCGCGTGAGTGCAAAGTCACCGTGTTGTTACTCAAGAAGCAGCGCTTGCAGGATCGAACATCAGATCTTATCTCATGCCTTTTATGTTGTAGGCCTCCCAATACAGAGACTCCATACCTTCTTGCTTTTTAAGTGGCTGTGAATTGAGTTAACCTCAACTACCTTCTGATCAAACAAATTTATGTAAAAATAAGAGCTTTCTTATTTATATCCTTGTGATTCATTTGTTGTTGTTTAAGATTCGCTACCTGGAACAAAAAGTTCCAGGCAGCACGGGCTATGGTGAACCCGTAGTATGTATGTGATTCATTGTGTCGCTAGCTTCCCCCATGTCTTCTCATTCTTACATATCACATGAACATTTTCAAGTCCCCTCAAACTTTTGTCTTTTCTTTTGTAAATAAAATGCCCTCAGATATTCTTTATAATCCAATATACTCAGTTCTGGGACAAGTGGCGTAGTGGTAAGATGCTCGCCTGGCGTACCGGGAGCGCTTTGTCGTGGGTTCGTATCCTGGCCGGGGAGGATTTACTGGACGCAAATCCTTAACTGTAGCCTCTGTTTAACTCAACAGTAAAATGGGTACTTGGTTGTAACAACGATTCTTCGCGGCAGGGGATCGTATTCCAGGGACCATAGGATTAAGGACCTGCCCGAAACGCTACGCGTACTAGTGGCTGTACAAGAATGTAACAACTCTTGTATATATAAATAACAAAAAATGTTTAGTTGGAAGAAATTTTTCCCTTTTAGGCTTCGATGACCCGTTTCGTGTGCTTAGATTGCTCTCCTTATTCTCATCAATATACAATTTTCTGATTGAAATCTAGCAGCCTTATTTTTTATTTATATATAAGAGTTCTTACATTCTTCTAAATCCACCAGCACGCATAGTGTTTCGGGCAGGTCCTGAATCATAATTTTCCCCGGAATACGACCCGCCAAATCGTTTAACAACCAGGTATCCATTCACTGCTGGGTGAACAGAGGCGTACAGTTAAGGATTGGCGCCCAGTCAATCCTTCCCAACCAGGATACGAACCCAGGCCAAAACGACAGGCGAGTGCTTTACTACTGCACCACGGGGACCCATTACTCTAGATAATCCAAAGGTATTTTCAAGCGTCCTTAGTTTTTACTCGTTTCAACAGTTTTAAATCATATGCAAAAGTCGACATGTATGCTTCCACTCGCTCTGTTATCTGGCTTAGATGTGTACAGTGCCATGGTTCAAGGAGTGTACCAACTTACTGTGACTTGCTAGACAAGTATTGACTTTTCAGTGTTCATCCAATATAACAACTTTCCATGTAGCAGTTCGACGTCTCTTTCCCCAGCCAGAATAGGGTTTAACATATTTACATTTGAACTCGTGAGAATGAATGTGTGCGCACGTAACTACAGTATGGGAAAATCATTTTCATAAGTTGGTGCTTCTTCGGGGTTCATTTTCTCAGACGACTATTTCTGACCACGTTTTCTTTGGTGCAGCGGGGCGTCATAACCAGCCCAACGGCAGAGTATGTTATCGAACCCCTACCTGAAGACGTCAAGCGAAGGCGGCGTCGACGCCGCACAGTCACCCAGGGGCAGGAGGATCTCACATCCTACACTCACATCTTGTACAGGAAGGAGGACAACGCAGGATACACTGTGGAGGCCAGTAAGTATGCTTATACTAGTTAGTAGAAATAGCCTAAGCTACTCTATCGTTGTTGAGATGTATTTGATTGTCTATAAACGTTCTTGAACCTGTGCTAGTTAGTTTGTTGATGTTTTCATAGGGAGACGCAATTCTTTCTTGTTAACTCCATGATATTTTAATGGACTCAGGTTAAAAACTTAAGTGTTACATCGAAAATGAGAAACTTTAAAATATGAGTTTACTTTTTTAGATCAATGGATCAAATTATAGTAACCGCTGGCGTGTTAATTAGGTTCAGTAATGTTAAACAAAATTGAGTTTTAACAATTAAGAACCGCAAGGAAGTGTATTATTAACGTGCCTAAAGCATATAGCCATCCCTTGGTCCCTTTGTCATCACCTCCCCCTCTCTGTCTGCCTGGCTGTCTCTCTCTCTGTCTGCCTGGCTGTCTCTCTCTCTGTCTGCATATTTTTTTTCTGTCTTCTTTGTGTCTCTCATGATCCAACCCGTCCTCCGAATAGAACGTCGCATTTTGACGTATACTTTATCCAAGGTCAAAAATCTTGGAACTAGAAACTGTAAGCGGCTCGCGAAAGTGAGGTACTGTCCCGTTTTCTGTTTTGGGTCCTCTAGTAAGTCAGGATAAGGTCACTTTAGTACGACAGTTTCTTGACGTTGGGAATCCTTAGGAGGACGGGCTGCAAGATCATGTTCCCGGGGACTAATCAGCACATTTTGTGGGATCAGAGGCGTCTCGGGCCCGGAGGTCTTTCCTGCCGGCGTCGTCGTCGTCGGGGGAGGAGGAGGGGGAGCGGCTGCCGACGCCCCGGGCTTTACTGGGGTCGCGTTCGGAGCGGCGCAGCTACTACGACAGCTACGACCACGTCGTCGACTCAAGAATGCGGTCTGAGTGGGACACCGGAGGCGACGACAACTACGACGGGCGCTCCTACGGCGATGGGTGGGTGAGCGGGCGTGTCTGTTGCCTGATCCTATTTAGGGAATGAGACCTTCGTTTACGGTAACCGGCTTTCTGTATGATATTTGTGCAATAAAGCTCTTAAAGTGTGTGCTTGTGTGACGCTTGACATTGCATGTGTGTGACAGGAGGGAGCGTCGGGGCGAGGACCTGTACATCGAGACGGCGGTGTTCGTGGACAGGGACCTGTACCGTCACATGCAGGACAACTTCCCCACCAACACTGAAGACCAGGTCCTCCGGGTCGTCCTCGCCATGGTCAACGCGGTATGTTACACTAGCTTTTGTCACCCGTCCAACCACTTGGGGTGAACGGTAGAGTGACTGTCTCGCTTCATGCAGGTCGGCGTTCAATCCCCCGGCCGTCCAAGTGGTTGGGCATCATTCTTCCCCCCCCCCTTTCATTCTTTAATTTAGACAAATTAAAAATACAACCTTTAACTTAGTTTGAGTGGTGATATATTTTGGTAAAACACTTTGTAGTAGTGGCATGATACGTGGCCCAGGATAGACCGAAATGTCGTCGTTTCCTGACTTTCTGATGTGTGGTTTGGTCACACATTTTAGGTTTGTGATTAGCCATGTGATTTAGGCTTTTGATTAGCCATGTGGTTTAGGTTTGTGATTAAGCATCACAACGCCAGTAATGGCTGCCAGGTGAGGCGCCTGCCACACCTATAAACGGCATCGTCTATAGACCCTTAGTGGACGGGAGACATCTCCCGTCCACGAGGCTCACCATAGTCCGTGCTTCTTGCCCCGCTCCTGTGCCAGGTAAGTTACGGGCTCACCATAGCCGTGCTACTTGGAACTTGTTCCGAGTAGCTTAATCTATAACATAGACCCTTAGTACACATCACCACCAAAGGTCACATTCACACCAAAACACTACCACTTACGGGCTATTCGTGCCCGTGCCTCCTCTTGCTGGCCTTAATAATAATACATTATAATAAATTACAATATTACGTAATAATAATTACAATAAGGTTATCTGTGTGTGTGTGTCTGATCCACTGCCCGCTCCTGGACCCCACAGGTGCAACTGCTCTACAACGACGACTCCCTCGGCCACGAGGTCAAGTTCGTGCTTCTGCACGTGGCAGCGGCAGGAGAACCCGCCGGAGGACACCCACGCCCTCCACTGGGACCACGCCCTCATCCTGACGGGCCTTGACGTCTACACACTCACCTCCAGCGGCAAGCTCAACTCTCAGGTCGTGGGTAAGTCCCTTGGGGCTAGGGGAAGGGAAGGAGTAGCGTGTGTGTGTACTCACCTATTTTACTCCCCTATTTGTGCTTGCAGGATAGAGCTCTAGCTCTTGGACCCCGTTTTTCTAGCCGTTGGTTGTCTAATGCAATGACTCTTGACCTATTTCCCTTTCATTCCTGCTGTTAAAGTTATGAATGGAGTTAGCCTCTACAACCTGCTCCTTTAGGTCATTCCATTCACTCACTAACCTTATGCTAAAATAAAATCTTTCTAACATCTCTATGACACATGTGAGTCTCAAGCTTCCATCCGTGCCCCCTTGTTCTGTTGTTATTCATTGTAAACATTTCCCCTGTTTACACCGTGTCAACCCCTGTAAGTATTTTATACATCTGTATCATGTCCTCTCTCCCTCCTCCTTTCTAACGTCGTCAGGTTTAGTTCCTTCAGTCTGTCTTCGTGCCTCATCCCTCGCAGCTCTGGGACGAGTCTCGTTGCAAACTTCTGCACCTTTTCAGAGCTTCCTTATGTGTTTTTTTTTTTAAGATGGGGCTCCAGGATGGGGCGGCATACTCTAAGACTGGCCTCACATAGGTGGTATACAGTGATCTAAAAGCCTTCTTATTCAAGTTTCTGAAGGATGTTCTGACTTTTGCCAGGGTAGAGTATGCGGCTGACGTTATTCTATTTATATGAGCCGCTGGAGTTAGGTTTGGTGTTATGTCCACTCCCAGGTCTCTTTCTCTAGTCGTTATAGGGAGGTAGTTTTCCTTCATCGTATATTGGACTTTGTCTCCTGGCTCCTATCCCCATTTCCATCACCTTACACTTGCTAGTGTTGAACTCTAGCAGCCATTTCTCAGACCTGCTCTGCAACCTGTTCAAGTCGTTCTGGAGAATCTTGCAATCCTCATCTGTCTCATTAGTTTTGCATCATCTGCAAACATTGACATAAAAGACTCAACTCCTGCAGTCAAGTCATTTACATAACTGAGGAATAGTATGGGACCCATACTATTAGCCATACTACCATACCATATAGACCCATAGGAGCCGGTCGGCCGAGCGGACAGCACACTGGACTTGTGATCCTGTGGTCCTGGGTTCGATCCCAGGCGCCGGCGAGAAACAATGGGCAGAGTTTCTTTCATCCTATGCCCCTGTTACCTAGCAGTAAATAGGTACCTGGGTGTTAGCTAGCTGTCACGGGCTGCTTCCTGGGGGTGGAGGCCTGGTCGAGGACCCGGCCGCGGGGACACTAAAAAAAAGCCCCGAAATCATCTCAAGATATAACCTCAAGATAACCTGACCCAGCACCGATCCTTGAGGCACCCCGCTTGTTACTCTACGCCAGTCCCACTCCTCGCCCCTCACCGTCACTCTCTGACACCTGTCTGTTAGGTAATTCCTTACCCAAGACAGTGCGTCTCCGTCTACTCCCGCCTGCCTCTCAAGTTTGTATAGTAGCCTTCTGGGTAGTACTGTATCAAAGGCTTTTTGACAGTCCAGAATTATGCAATCTGCCCATCCTTCTCTGTCTTGCCTTGTTTTCGTTACCTTATCATAAAACTAAGAGGTTTGTCAGACATGATTTCCCTTCTCTAAAGCCATGTTGTTGTTTACTTACAAATCCAATTCTTTCTTGGGGTGCAACTAGTCTTAACCTTATAATTCTTTTAAGTACTTTACTGGGGCTGCTTGTGAGCGACACTGGTCTGTTGTTAAGTGGCTCTTCCCTATATCCTTTCTTGTAGATTGGCACCACATTTGCCTTATTTCAGCAGCTGGACATTTTCCCCTGTGTAAGTGACTCGTTAAATATTAGTGCTAGAGGTATGCTGAGGACCTGTGCTGCTTCTTTTAACAGCCATGGTGATAGTCTTTCCCAGTAGCTGTAGTTACATCCAGTGATGCTAGTTGTATTCTTGCTTCCTCTGCGGTTACCTCTATATTTAGTAATTTCTCATCCTCGTCTAGCTCCGGGAGCTGTTCAGGCTCAGCAGTGAACACTCCAAGGAAGCTGGCATTGAGCTCCTAACAAAGTTATTTATAATTTTCTGTATACTGGCCTCCCCCATTTTCGTAACCTGATCACTTGGTTATTCACTGTCATTGTCCTTCACACCTATTCGGTGTGTGTGTGTGTGTGTGTGTGTGTGTGTGTGTGTGTGTGTGTGTGTGTGTGTGTGTGTGTGTGTGTGTGTGTGTGTGTGTACTCACCTAGTTGTGCTTGCGGGGGATGGGCTTTGGCTCTTTGGTCCGGCCTCTCAACTGTCAATCAACTGGTGTACAGGTTCCTGAGCCTACTGGGCTCTATCATATCTACATTTGAAACTGTGTATGGAGTCAGCCTCCACCACATCACTACTTAATGCATTCCATTTGTTAACTACTCTGACACTGAAGAAATTCTTTCTAACGTCTCTGTGGCTCATTTGGGTACTAAGTTTCCACCTGTGTCCCCTTGTTCGTGTCCCACCCGTGCTGAAGAGTTTTCTTTATCCACTCTGTCAATTCCCCTAAGAATTTTGTAGGTGGTTATCATGTCTCCTCTAACTCTTCTGTTTTCCAGGGTTGTGAGGTTCAGTTCTCTTAACCTTTCCTCGTAGCTCATACCTCTCAGTTCCGGGACGAGTCTGGTGGCATACCTCTGAATCTTCTCTGACTTTGTCTTGTGTTTAACTAGGTATGGACTCCAGGCTGGAGCTGCATATTCCAGGAGTGGTCTGACATAAGTGGTATACAGGGTCCTGAACGATTCCTTACACAAGTTTCTAAAGGCAGTTCTTATATTAGCCACTCTAGCATATGCCGCTGATGATATCCTTTTAATGTGGGTATCGAGGGGACAGGTTCGGTGTGATATCAACCCCCAGATCTTTCTATTTGAGAGAAAGGTTAGGTTAGACTGGCTGGCCTGGCCTCTGTGTGTGCGTGTGTGTACTTATCTATTTGTGCCTGCAGGACCGAGCATTGACTCTTGGATCCCGCCAAAATGTGTGTGTGTGTGTGTGTGTGTGTGTGTGTGTGTGTGTGTGTGTGTGTGTTCCTGAAAATATACTTGCGACCTTGCCAGGATTCGAACCTGGAATCTTCTGATCCGTAGTCAGACGCGTTATCCGTTGCGCCACAAGGCCATTAAATTGTGTGTGTGTGTGTGTGTGTGTGAGGGTACTAACCTATCAGTGACTACCGGAGTGAGGTGTTGGTCTCCACGCCCCGCCTACTACCAGCCTTGTTTATATCTGTTGCAATTTATAATTCCCTTGACACTCCAGTTCTGTGTCGTATTCGCTGTTGTAGTTGTAGACACGAGCATTATTTCTGAACTGTCCTTTCGACTCGTTTTCCTTTACATTTCCAACAATGTTCTCTTGCCTTTTTTCCCTGTTTATGAAGGCTGGCCTGGTCCATCTTGTGCTGTCTCTTCAGCATCTTATGTGTATATGTGATTCACAACACCAGTAACCTCCTATTATATAATTGTCAACATAATGCTAAATCCACCTTGCTTACATGTTTATGGTTCCCGTGGTTCCTTCTCTCTGGTGTTGTGTGAATCGTGGAGGTCTGGCGCCGGTGGCCGGCATGTGCACCCGCTCCAGCTCCTGCACCGTCAACGAGGGCCGCCACTTCGAGTCCGTCTACGTCATGGCTCACGAGATTGGCCACAAGTGAGTAGGACTCGTCAGGCAGTGGGAACACCGGTTGGGTGTCTGACTGGAAGCTTAGGAGAGGGTGGTGGGCGTGGGTGTATGGCTGGAACCTTAGGAGAGGGTAGTGGGCGTGGGTGTATGGCTGGAACCTTAGGAGAGGGTAGTGGGCGTGGGTGTATGGCTGGTAGCTTAGGAGAGGGTGGTGGGCGTGGGTGTATGGCTGGAACCTTAGGAGAGGGTAGTGGGCGTGGGTGTATGGCTGGAACCTTAGGAGAGGGTAGTGGGCGTGGGTGTATGGCTGGAACCTTAGGAGAGGGTAGTGGGCGTGGGTGTATGGCTGGAACCTTAGGAGAGGGTAGTGGGCGTGGGTGTATGGCTGGAACCTTAGGAGAGGGTAGTGGGCGTGGGTGTATGGCTGGAACCTTAGGAGAGGGTGGTGGGCGTGGGTGTATGGCTGGAACCTTAGGAGAGGGTGGTGGGCGTGGGTGTATGGCTGGAACCTTAGGAGAGGGTAGTGGGCGTGGGTGTATGGCTGGAACCTTAGGAGAGGGTGGTGGGCGTGGGTGTCTGGAAGGTTAGGAGAGCTTGAGAGGGTGGTGGTAAGCGACCGAGAGTTTCTGGCTAGACTGCTTGGAATAATTGGAGCTTGGAAGTGGACCGGGTAAGATAGAGGGAGGGACGAAGATGCTGGTGGATAGAAGAAAGGAGAGGGAGAGAATAGGGGGAAGGGAGAAAGAGAGAGGGCGTGGAGGCACCTCACTCTCTAGTACCGGAAGTGTTCGATTCATTCCCAGTGTGTACATATTTTTGCTTGTCCCATTCCGGAAGGCAGTTAGTGTAATGGACCTCTTATGACTTTATGATGTCAGTTTGTTGTGGGACTGAAGCGGAAGAGTTGTTTTACTAGTCCACAGAAAACGAAGGTAGGGTTAAGTAATTATCAGGATAAAGCACTAAACCATTACGACTAGCACTTGCAAGGACAAGAATTTAGGAGAGTGACGGAGGAAAGAAATAGTTCCCAACTACTTGGACGGTCGGGAATTGAACCCTGACCTGCAAGAAGTGAGACCGTCCCTCTACCGTTCAGCCCAAGTGGCTGGGCATACAGAAAACGTATATCAATAATAATTATTATAATGATAACAGTAATAGTAGGAGTTGCAGGCATCCATCAGTCTCAGGAGACTAGGGAGTTGCACTCTGGTGTCGGCCTAATAACTAGCCGTTGCACTCTGGTGTCGGCCTAATAACTGGCCGTTGCACTCTGGTGTCGGCCTAATAACTGGCCGTTGCACTCTGGTGTCGGCCTAATAACTGGCCGTTGCACTCTGGTGTCGGCCTAATAACTGGCCGTTGCACTCTGGTGTCGGCCTAATAACTAGCCGTTGCACTCTGGTGTCGGCCTAATAACTAGCCGTTGCACTCTGGTGTCGGCCTAATAACTGGCCGTTGCACTCTGGTGTCGGCCTAATAACTGGCCGTTGCACTCTGGTGTCGGCCTAATAACTGGCCGTTGCACTCTGGTGTCGGCCTAATAACTAGCCGTTGCACTCTGGTGTCGGCCTAATAACTAGCCGTTGCACTCTGGTGTCGGCCTAATAACTGGCCGTTGCACTCTGGTGTCGGCCTAATAACTAGCCGTTGCACTCTGGTGTCGGCCTAATAACTAGCCGTTGCACTCTGGTGTCGGCCTAATAACTGGCCGTTGCACTCTGGTGTCGGCCTAATAACTAGCCGTTGCACTCTGGTGTCGGCCTAATAACTAGCCGTTGCACTCTGGTGTCGGCCTAATAACTGGCCGTTGCACTCTGGTGTCGGCCTAATAACTAGCCGTTGCACTCTGGTGTCGGCCTAATAACTAGCCGTTGCACTCTGGTGTCGGCCTAATAACTGGCCGTTGCACTCTGGTGTCGGCCTAATAACTGGCCGTTGCACTCTGGTGTCGGCCTAATAACTGGCCGTTGCACTCTGGTGTCGGCCTAATAACTGGCCGTTGCACTCTGGTGTCGGCCTAATAACTGGCCGTTGCACTCTGGTGTCGGCCTAATAACTGGCCGTTGCACTCTGGTGTCGGCCTAATAACTGGCCGTTGCACTCTGGTGTCGGCCTAATAACTGGCCGTTGCACTCTGGTGTCGGCCTAATAACTGGCCGTTGCACTCTGGTGTCGGCCTAATAACTGGCCGTTGCACTCTGGTGTCGGCCTAATAACTGGCCGTTGCACTCTGGTGTCGGCCTAATAACTGGCCGTTGCACTCTGGTGTCGGTTTGGTAATAACACCAAATATAAACAAAGACTTATAACAAGACTTTCCCCCGTGACCGCCAGCCTGGGGATGCGCCACGACGGGCTACAGGCCGGCAACAACTGCGACCCCGGCAGGTACCTCATGTCCCCCACGCTGGGGTCAGGCAAGATCACCTGGTCCCCTTGCTCCAGGAGGTACCTCGACCACTTCCTCAGGTGAGTCCCTCAGCTCCTCGATCACTTTCTTAGGTGAGTCCCTCAGCTCCTCGACCACTTTCTCAGGTGAGTCCCTCAGCTCCTCGACCACTTTCTCAGGTGAGTCCCTCAGCTCCTCGACCACTTCCTCAGGTGAGTCCCTCAGCTCCTCGACCACTTTCTCAGGTGAGTCCCTCAGCTCCTCGACCACTTTCTCAGGTGAGTCCCTCAGCTCCTCGACCACTTTCTCAGGTGAGTCCCTCAGCTCCTCGACCACTTTCTCAGGTGAGTCCCTCAGCTCCTCGACCACTTCCTCAGGTGAGTCCCTCAGCTCCTCGACCACTTCCTCAGGTGAGTCCCTCAGCTCCTCGACCACTTCCTCAGGTGAGTCCCTCAGCTCCTCGACCACTTCCTCAGGTGAGTCCCTCAGCTCCTCGACCACTTCCTCAGGTGAGTCACTAGGCCAGGATTCAAGAACCATTTACGTATCTATTTACGAACCTGCGTTTCTTTCCTCAGTCGTTGACGGCTTCGTTTGCGATCGTAAACTGGATCGTACTCCAGTTTACGATCTCCGGAGTACCAGGAGGTTGCAGACGAGGAGTCACAATAACGTGGCTGAAGTATGTTGACCAGACCACACACTAGAAGGTGAAGGGACGACGACGTTTCGGTCCGTCCTGGACCATTCTCAAGTCGATTGTGTCCAGTTCAGGAGAATGGTCCAGGACGGACCGAAACGTCGTCGTCCCTTCACCTGCTAGTGTGTGGTCTGGTCAATACCAGGAGGTTGTTTATAACAACAATAACATTTGACCGGGGAAGTTCCTGTGCTCGTAAACTGTTTAATATATGTAAACAAAGCCGCTGATGATGGAGAAATGATGTACAGGTTTGTAAAGGACTTGCGTGTCTGCTTGGTGAATCCGGTCCCTGGCGCCTGCTCCAGCATTTACGGATAAAAGTCATTTCGTACATAAGACGGAATTATTTTTGGTGTAAAAGACTATCCAGCATTTCCTTATCTAACCTGACCTATCCTTATCGAACTTTAACTTACCTAGCCTAACCTTATTTCACCCTAGCTAACCTAGCCTAACCTTATTTAACCCTAGCTAACCTGACCTAATCTTATGTGACCTAGCCATATCTAACCTGATCTGACCTTACCTAACCTGACCAAACCTTTTCTAACCTAACCTTATCCAACCTAACCATTTCTAACCTGACCTAACGCTGTCTAACCTGAACTAACCCTATCTAACCTGACCTAGCCTTATCCAACCATATCTAACCTGACCTAATCTAACCAAAACATATCTAATCAGATATAACCTTATCTAATCTAACCATGTGCAACCTAGCTATACCTAACCATATCTAAACTGGCCTAACCATATCTAATCTGACATGGCCTAACCTGACCTCACCATATGTAAGCTGACCTGACATAATCTAATGGCCTAACCTAACCTAGCCAAATCTAACCCAACCTTACCTAACGGCTTTATATGCACGGATAACAATTTGAAAAATGAGCTGTGTGTGTGGGGAACGCCCGCGCACAGGCGTGCCAACGGAATGTACTCCGTTGGCACGCCTGTGTGTTTACCATTGTGACGTCATTAGCAAAGTTGGCAAGCATGTTTCTCTCTCTCCTCGTAACGACACTGTCAATACTGTATTGAAAGGTAAAAAAGAATCCTATTCATACACCAGTGTCATGCAATTTGCTGAAATAGCCTAATGTGCCTCAGTTTTGCTGACAATGGTGGTGTCATTAGTACAGTTACGGCGCCGAGGTTGGTACACCTGTTTGTTAGCGCATTTGACTCGTCAGTCAATCCGTTCTCCTAATAGAACGTTGGTCCGGGGCGCATCCGATCCCACGATCGTCGTCGCCCCTAAATCAACACAACAACGTTGTATTTTGACGTATATTCTACATAAGGCCAAAAATTGTCGTACTAGAAAATGATAGCGGCTGACGAAACTGACATAATCTCCCATTTTCTGTTTTGGGTTCTCTGGTAGGTTAGGATTAGGATAAGGGTAATTTACTACAACAGTTTCTTGATGTTAGGAAACCTTTGGAGGACGGGTTGCATCAGAAATATTTATAGAAGTTTGTCTTCGCTTTTGATTTAATTAGGCTGTTGACATGGCTGTCTGTTATGCAGAAACGGGGTCAGCAGTCGTCAGTTCCTGTTCCCACCTGTGTACATAAAAACAGAAAGGTAACAATGAAACAGAAGAGATATTTAATGAAGTCTCTTTGAATTATTGTTAAGGTTCCCCTAAGATTATTTCCGCGTAAATGCAACACATGCTGCCAGCACACACCTGTGAGGTCAGTGTCACTGTTAGCAGAGGTGCGTGGTGACCTCTGTGAGGTTAGTGTCACTGTTAGAAGAGGTGCGTGGTGACCTCTGTGAGGTTAGTGTCACTGTTAGCAGAGGTGCGTGGTGACCTCTGTGAGGTTAGTGTCACTGTTAGCAGAGGAGCGTGGTGACCTCTGTGAGGTTAGTGTCACTGTTAGAAGAGGTGCGTGGTGACCTCTGTGAGGTTAGTGTCACTGTTAGCAGAGGTGCGTTGGTGACCTCTGTGAGGTCAGTGTCACTGTTAGCAGAGGTGCGTGGTGACCTCTGTGAGGTTAGTGTCACTGTTAGCAGAGGTGCGTTGGTGACCTGTGAGGTTAGTGTCACTGTTAGCAGAGGTGCGTGGTGACCTCTGTGAGGTCAGTGTCACTGTTAGCAGAGGTGCGTGGTGACCTCTGTGAGGTTAGTGTCACTGTTAGCAGAGGTGCGTGGTGACCTCTGTGAGGTCAGTGTCACTGTTAGCAGAGGTGCGTGGTGACCTCTGTGAGGTTAGTGTCACTGTTAGCAGAGGTGCGTTGGTGACCTCTGTGAGGTTAGTGTCACTGTTAGCAGAGGTGCGTGGTGACCTCTGTGAGGTTAGTGTCACTGTTAGCAGAGGTGCGTTGGTGACCTCTGTGAGGTTAGTGTCACTGTTAGCAGAGGTGCGTGGTGACCTCTGTGAGGTTAGTGTCACTGTTAGCAGAGGTGCGTGGTGACCTCTGTGAGGTTAGTGTCACTGTTAGCAGAGGTGCGTGGTGACCTCTGTGAGGTTAGTGTCACTGTTAGCAGAGGTGCGTGGTGACCTCTGTGAGGTCAGTGTCACTGTTAGCAGAGGTGCGTGGTGACCTCTGTGAGGTTAGTGTCACTGTTAGCAGAGGTGCGTGGTGACCTCTGTGAGGTCAGTGTCACTGTTAGCAGAGGTGCGTGGTGACCTCTGTGAGGTTAGTGTCACTGTTAGCAGAGGTGCGTGGTGACCTCTGTGAGGTCAGTGTCACTGTTAGCAGAGGTGCGTGGTGACCTCTGTGAGGTCAGTGTCACTGTTAGCAGAGGTGCGTTGGTGACCTCTGTGAGGTTAGTGTCACTGTTAGCAGAGGTGCGTTGGTGACCTCTGTGAGGTTAGTGTCACTGTTAGCAGAGGTGCGTTGGTGACCTCTGTGAGGTTAGTGTCACTGTTAGCAGAGGTGCGTTGGTGACCTCTGTGACGTTAGTGTCACTGTTAGCAGAGGTGCGTTGGTGACCTCTGTGAGGTTAGTGTCACTGTTAGCAGAGGTGCATTGGTGACCTCTGTGACGTTAGTGTCACTGTTGTTACAAGTGTTTGGTGGCCCTGGTGACTCCTGTGCGTGTGAGCGACCCGTTCTCGCACTTTCTTATAGTCAATATTGACTTATTAAATACGTGCATATGTGACATACTAAACATACTAGTTTACCTTGAAAAGCTTCATAGAAAACACCGATCTTACCTAACCTTTTTAGTATGTTAATTAAGATAAGCATCTTATTGCTTCGTAATTACAATTATTACTTAACCTATACCTATAATAGGTTAAGTAATAATTGTAATTACGAAGCAATAAGATGCTTATCTTAACATACTAAGAAGGTTAGGTAAGGTCGGTGTTTTCTATGAAGCTTTTCAAGGTAAACTAGTATGTTAAGTATGTCACATATGCACGTATTTAATAAGTCAATATTGACTATACGAAAGTGCGAGAACGGGTTGGTGTGAGCGACGTTGCCAGAATGTTAAGTAACACAATCTTCACACTAACGCAAGTCATTGGTCCTTCTTGTGCGTGCATAACTCTCACTCAAGCGTTGTAATTCTGCAGGTCACAGCAGTCGTCGTGTCTGCGGGACGTGTCTGCTCCCGAGGGTCACCAGATGGACCACGAGGCTAGCTCCCCACCCGGCCAGCGCTTCTCAGCAGACCAACAGTGTGAGTGCTTCCTTACTCCCGCCCTCAGTGTATGGCCATTCCATCCAGCGGACGAGCCCAAAGATATATTCATAAATGTTAACATGTTATTCATTCAAAATTGGAATGTTCTGAAATATAAATTAATATTGTTATATATTAGCATATTTAGGCATTGGTTAGGTTAGGTGTTTAGGTTCTGTTGGCGATTATTTGTATTCAACCCGTTCTCTCACTAGGCTGGTTAAAGCAGCGGCCGTTCTCCCCAGACACATTCATTAATTTTACCATACTGTGTATTACAAATCAGTTTGTTCTGATATATAAATTAATATTCTTATACATAAAAATTGTATGTATAAAAATATGTATGTATGTAAAATTGTATGTTTTACAATATACATAATATTGTAAAACACCTAACCTAACCTACGCCAAACTATTGTATAGTTTGGTGTAGGTTAGGTTAGGTTAGGTTAGGTTAGGTTAGGTTAGGTTAGGTTAGGTGTTTAGGTTCTGTTGGTAATTATTTGTATTTATAAGTTCGTGGGTGAAGCATTTATAGAATTGTGGTTCGAGCAGAGGACGTCAGCGAAGCACTTGTTCCGGAAGTGTTCGAACGTCAGCAGTTGTGAGTCGTGTGTAAACCGTTTTTCATTCATAAACAGCGGGTTTGGTGGGTGCATGGAATCACTTTTGGGTCTTTGTTTGGAGGACGGGCTGGCGTCTGTGGGGTCGACCGCTGGATGTAATGGACTTGAGTTGACGACAGGTTGATTTATGCATGAAAAACTGAGGACAGTGTTTAAATAGTACATTTAACACTTCTACTCAGCTCTTCACTTGTCAAAATTAATATTAAAAGCGAAATTTATCTCTAAAAGGACAAATAGATAGAGAACGAAATCAAAATAGATAGATTTAAAGATAGAGATAAAGAAAGAATGGAAATTGTGAGAGATGAAGATAGATCAAGAAATGTGTAGTTAGCGAGAGATTGAGAGAAAGGGAATGAGAGATTTCATGAAAGATAAAGACAGATATACTTAGAGAATGATCATAATAAAAAAATCAAAGTTCTTTAACCTCAGTTGTCACTGTTGTTGTTGTTGTTTCCGCTGGCAGTGATTAGGGGGGGGGGGGCTGAAGGTCATCACCAGACGCACGCACAGGTTAATACAATGTGTGTGTGTGTGTGTGTGTGTGTGTGTGTGTGTAATTACCTAAGTAATTACCTAAGTGTAGTTACAGGATGAGAGCTACGCTCGTGGTGTCCCGTCTTCCCAGCACTCTTTGTCATATAACGCTTTGAAACTACTGACGGTCTTGGCCTCCACCACCTTCTCACCTAACTTGTTCCAACCGTCTACCACTCTATTTGCGAAGGTGAATTTTCTTATATTTCTTCGGCATCTGTGTTTAGCTAGTTTAAATCTATGACCTCTTGTTCTTGAAGTGCCAGGTCTCAGGAAGTCTTCCCTGTCGATTTTATCAATTCTTGTTACTATTTTGTACGTAGTGATCATATCACCTCTTTTTCTTCTGTCTTCTAGTTTTGGCATATTTAATGCTTCTAACCTCTCCTCGTAGCTCTTGCCCTTTAGTTCTGGGTGCCACTTAGTAGCATGTCTTTGCACCTTTTCCAGTTTGTTGATGATATGGGCACCACATAGGTTTGTTCCTAAGATATGGGCACCACACAACAGCTGCATATTCTAGCTTTGGCCTAACAAAAGTCATGAACAATTTCTTTAGTATATCGCCATCCATGTATTTAAAAGCAATTCTGAAGTTAGAAAGCATAGCATAGGCTCCTTGCACAATATTCTTTATGTGGTCCTCAGGTGATAGTTTTCTATCTAGAACCACTCCTAGATCTCTTTCTTTATCAGAATTCTTTAAAGATTTCTCACATAATATATAGAATGTGTGGGGGTCTATGTTCTCCTATTCCACATTCCATAACATGACATTTATTAACATTAAATTCCATTTGCCAAGTGGTGCTCCATATACTTATTTTGTCCAGGTCTTCTTGAAGGGCATGACAATCATCTAAATTTCTTATCCTTCCTATTATCTTAGCATCATCAGCAAACGTGTGTGTGTGTATGTGTGTGTGTGTGTGTGTGTGTGTGTGTGTGTGTGTGTGTGTGTGTGTGTGTGTGTGTGTGTGTGTGTGTGTGTGTGTGTATTCGCCTGCTTGTGCTTACCTAGTTGTACGGGGGTTGAGCTTCGGCTCTTTGGTCCCGCCTCTCAACTGCCAGTCAACCGGTGTACAGGTTCCTGAGCCTACTGGGCTCTATCATATCTACACTTGAAACTGTGTATGGAGTCAGCCTCCACCACATCACTGCCTAATGCATTCCATTTATTAATTACTCTGACACTAAACAAATTCTTTCTAATGTCTCTGTGACTCATTTGGGCACTCAATTTCCACCTGTGTCCCATTGTGCGTGTGCCCCTTGTGTTAAACTGTCAGTATCTACCCTTTCAATTTCTTTGAGAATCTTGTATGCGGTGATCATGTACCCCCCAACTCTTCTGTCTTCCAGCGACGTGAGGTTTAATTCCCGTAGTCTCTCCTCGTAGCTCATACCTCTCAATTCGGGTACTAGTCTGTTGGCAAACCTCTGAACCTTCTCCAGTTTAATCTTATACTTGAGGAGATACCGATTCCATGCTGGCGCTGCATATTACAGGATTGGTCTGACATATGTGGTATACATGGTTCTGAATGTTTCCTTACACAAGTTTCTAAAGGCCGTTCTTATGTTGGCCGACTTGGCATATGCTGCTGGTCATATCCTCTTGATGTTGGTTTTAGGGGACAGGTCTGGCGTGATATCAACCCCAGGTCTTTCTCTCTCTCTCTCTCTCTCTCTGACTCTTGAAGTATTTCATCTCCAAGATAATACCTTGTATCTGGCCTCCTGCTCCCTACACCTATCTTCATTACATTACATCTGCTTGGGTTAAACTCTAACAGCCATTTGTTGGACCATTCCTTCAGTTGGTCCAGGTCTTCCTGAAGCCTCAAGCTGTCCTCCTGTCTTAATCCTTCTCTTGTTAGTGTTTATATTCCGCCCGTCCTCTTGTGTACTGCTGTCCCTGCCTCCCCTCTCCCTCCCTGCCTCCCCTCTCCCTCCCTGCCTCCCCTCTCCCTCCCTGCCTCCCCTCTCTCTCCCTGCCTCCCCTCTCCCTCCCTTCCTCCCCTCTCCCTCCCTGCCTCCCCTCTCCCTCCCTGCCTCCCATCTCCCTCCCTGCCTCCCCTCTCCCTCCCTGCCTCCCCTCTCCCTCCCTGCCTCCCCTCTCCCTCCCTGCCTCCCCTCTCCCTCCCTGCCTCCCCTCTCCCTCCCTGCCTCCCCTCTCCCTCCCTGCCTCCCCTCTCCCTCCCTGCCTCCCCTCTCCCTCCCTGCCTCCCCTCTCCCTCCCTGCCTCCCCTCTCCCTCCCTGCCTCCCATCTGCCTCCCTGCCTCCCCTCTCCCTCCCTGCCTCCCCTCTCTCTCCCTGCCTCACAAGAGAAGACTGACTGGGTACCTCCTACAGGCATGCTGAAGCACGGAGCGGGGAGTCACCACGCCGACTCCCAGCCTCTGGAGGAGATCTGTCAGGACCTGCACTGTCGCCGCGACCACTACACCTGGACGTCCCACCCAGCCCTCGAGGGCACCTCCTGTGGCAACCATAAGGTAAGTCCCCCTTGTCTCACTCACGGCTCGCATCGCCCTGCCTCCCTCATTATTCCTCCTCCTTACCCTGCCTACCTCACCATGCTTAAAACATGGCCTTCCTCACCTACGGTCCACGGCTAACCATAGCCCGTGCTTCTTGCCCTGCTCCTGTGCCAGGTAAGTTACGGGCTCACCATAGCCCGTGCTACTCGGAACTTGTTCAGAGTAGCTGAATCTATAACAACAACAACACCTACGGTCCAACTACTTGGGCTGGACGGTAGATCGACGGTCTTGCTTCATGCAGGTTGGCGTTCAATCCCCGACCGTTCAAGTGGTTGGGCACCATTCCTTTCCCCCGTCCCATCCCAAATCCTTATCCTAACCTCTTCCCAGTGCTATATAGTCGTAATGACTTGGTGCTTTCATCTGATAATTGCCTTCCTGACCTACGTACAAGAGAGCATCATGAACGAACACGGTACAAATGTATTACAAATCCCTTGTTACGACTCCTTAGTTCCCTATGCGTCTGTTTTAACCTTCTATGCTTATTACAATTTTATATATATATTTTCATTCGAATTCTTGCCCTGACTCAGTGGTGCAAGCGAGGACGGTGTCAGGAGAACTCCGAGGCTCCAGCCCTCTCGCCGTCAGCCTCCCTCGTGTCGTCGGCGTCCCAGGGAGCGTCCGGGAGCGTGGGAGGGAAGTGGGGGGCGTGGTCCGAGTGTCGCTCCGCCTGTCTCTACGGCGTCGACGGCGTCCTCTCCTCTGGCAGCTCGGGCCTCGCCTTGTCTGAGAGGCGGTGTGGGTAAGTTGTTTTACATTCAGCTACTCCGAACAAAACGTTTCAAGTAGCACGGGCTATGGTGAGCCCGTAGTGGGCTTACCTGGCACAGGAGCGGGGCTGTAACTGCCCTCTTGTGTGGGGTTATCTTGAGATGATTTCGGGTCTTTTTAGTGTCCCCGCGGCCCGGTCCTCGACCAGGCCTCCACCCACCAGGAAGCAGCTTGGACAGCTGACTAACACCCAGGTACCTATTTACTGCTAGGTAACAGGGGCATAGGGTGAAAGAAACTCTGCCCATTGTTTCTCTCCGGCGCCCGGGATCGAACCCGGGACCACAGGATCACAAGTCCAGCGTGCTGTCCGCTCGGCCGACCGGCTCCCTACGTCCGGCATATTCCACACTACTGCTAACAGTAGTGTGGAATACTGGAATACACTAACGTCACTAACGGGGTAAGTGTGGCGCCTGTATATATATATATATATATATACGCAGAGTGCGAGGTGTGCTCTTGTGTTGGTAGCTGCAGCTAGTGGCTACTCTTGTAAACAACAATGGCGCGCATTATGACCCCACAACAAGCCCTGAACATGCTCTGTCTGCCGTTTGACGTCGAGATTGACAGACTAGTGGAGCACGGATGTACAGTAGAGGAATATTCAGCAGAGTGGTTGGAGAGTTGCAGGTTAACGAGGAGCTGGGACAACAGCGACGTAATGGGAAAATAATCACCAGGAAGACACTGATTGAGGTGTCAAACAACTTGTGTGTTTACAGGGAGAATCCTTGACCAGAAACCCTTGAAGCAGGCCAGCAATACATCCCAATAAAAACGCGGAAGGAAAAAAGTTGTTTAGTATGCCAAAGTGCCCGATATGGATAGAACCTGCTACACGAATGCAAGAAAAAATTGAATATGCTTTCCAGGGACAACGGTTGGAGACCGTGGACAGAACGAACAATATATTGTCAGCCAATGGGATCAAACCCATTGTTTGCCTCTCAGTAGGTGGACACGGTATGTGCCGAGGTAGGAGCGAGGAGTTGCTAGACAGATAGATATATATATATATATATATATATATATATATATATATATATATATATATATATATATATATATATATATATATATAGGATTAGTAGGCGAGTCAGAGGCTTAGGGCCCGCGCAGGAATATCCCTGCAAACAAAAAAAAATCAACATAACACTCCTCAAGGTGGACTACAACCAAAAAAGATGAATTAAATGCACACAGAAAAATAAACACATTATTGCACTAACAGAAACATGGATGAATGCAGAAAACAGAGAACTATGTAGAGGAATATAAAATTACATAAGAATATATTTTATGATTAATTTCTAATCTCATATTTTACCGGGTAGAGCTGGTGCCAGAGTCCCCCCCATCTTCATGGGGACGGTTATGGGAGCTAAAAGTATTTTAGTGGTAGTGATAGGCATGCCACTCATTTTGGCCATCTATCATGCACAGTTGTGTGAGGCTAGCCCTAAGCGTCTGGGGCCAGATTCACGAAGCAGTTACGCAAGTACTTACGAACGTGTACATCTTTCCTCAATCTTTGACGGTTTTGGTTACATTTATTAAACAGTTTACAAGCATGAAAACTTCCCAATCAACTGTTGTTATTGTTATAAACAGCCTCCTGGTGCTTTGGAGCTCATTAACTGTTTAATAATTATAAACACAGCCGCCAAAGATTGACAAAAGATGTACAGGTTCGTAAGTGCTTGCGTAACTGTTTCGTGAATCTGGCCCCTGACCTCTAACCTTGAACAGACAAGCAAACAGACAAACATCTTTCTTTTATTCATATAGATTGAATATGACCAAAAAAAGATAAGTCAGTGATTCTAGCACGAATCTTCATAATTAATTACTTTGTAATTGTTCAATCTGGAATGAAATTTATACAAATTTACTTATATGTTAATTTTACAGATTTACTGGTCATGATACATTTTATCCAATCAAGCTGAGCCTCCTCAGAGACAGTATGTGATGTGATAGGGTGTTAACTAATCAAAATAACAGGTTAACTGGGTCCTCCTATCTCACTGGTCGCATGAGGTGGTGGTAGGAGCTATTTTATTGACTCAGGTGTTCTGGACGACATCCTAACAATTTATCCAAAATTTGCAAAAGAGGAAGAATGAAGAATAATTGTTATTTATATTACTTCTAAGCTGCATCACTTATGAACCCATCCCTGCCCTTGTGTGGCAGTGCACAGTAGAAAGTTGTTTTCACATATCCATACATTAAAACATTGATTGTAACCGTGATATATATGTGCTTCAGCCTACAGTTTAGACCTATTGTCTTGTGTATGACCCTCTGTCCTGCGTGACAGTCAATACCAACATTATCCTCACTTCAATTAGACTTAATCGAAATCCTCAGATTAGGCAAAATTGTAATTGATTTTGTCAATTAATAATAATAATAAACAAGTGGCATTTCCTTCTTTGTGAGTACGAGACAAGGACGGACCTAGATGTGAGCTGTTGATCGTTGGCCGAGTGTGTTTGGTGTGAAGGACTTCCGCTATGTCTAGTCTTACTGGCCAGTATTATTGCCGGTTACTTCGGCGTTGGTGGTCACGATATCTCTAGGTCATCTTGTATGGTGACATGATGTTATCCTTAATGGACCCATGTTGTTTGAGCTTAGTTAGGCGCCTTGAAAAGGAAGTTATTGTCTGAACTAGTTATCTCTAGCTAATAAATACTGACAGCTGGTTCTCTTCTGATTTAAATACCCGTTCTTGCCGCCTCTCATTATTGCTCCGTCCCGCAGGTCGCGAGCCTGCAGAGGGGAGTATCGGTACCGCCTGTGCTCGGAGGTGGAGGAATGTGGCGCAGGACAGCGGAGGACCCTGCAGGACTTCGCCGACGACACCTGCAGAGGGCGGGCCAGAAACTCTGCTTCCCTGACGGGGCTGGCGGCCAGGGTGCCTGTTGAAGGTATTATACTAACCCAACCAACCCCTGCACCTTCCAATGTTTACCACACCCTTCCCTATACACCCACACCCTACTCTGCCCACCCACACCCTACTCTGCCCACCCACACCCTGATACCCTCACTCATCTCAACACATTCCTTTTCAAAACATTCACCCCTCCATTCTAGAGCACAAAAGCTCTCTCCTGAAGTTGGTTACCCAGCTTTCCTGATCCTTCTAGACATTCCCGGACCCGTTCTCGAAGTCCCAGTGCCTTCTCTCGACGAATTTTGTTTAGCTGTTATCTCTAAAACCAAGCAAATGTATAGTCTGCGAGTATTATTAGCAACCATATTTAGGTAACATTAGATTTTAGTGTTAGTTTAGCTTGCTTATTCACATTAGTAAAGTGCCCCAGGAATCCACAGTGTGAGGTGGAGTGGGTTCTCACTTCTGTCTTGCTCTTCAGGACTGTCTCAGTGTGAGGTGGAGTGTGAGACGACGGACCGCGAGATGGAGGCCTCCGGCAAGAGCTTCCCGGACGGGACCGTCTGCCAGTCAGCTTCCTCCCTCCCCGCCTTCTGTGTCGCCGGCGTCTGTACTGTAAGTCACGCGCCGAACTCACTCCTGTGTCTGAATGTTGGTCTCTCTCTCTCCTATCCTCTCTCTTTCTCCTCTGCTCTCTTTCTTTCTCCTCTGCTCTCTCTCTTTCTCCTCTTTGTTTTCTGTCGTGCCATTTCTATTTGAAGCGCCCCTACCTCTTTTTCCAGTCTCTTCCTCTTCAATTCCTTCTCTTAACACTTTTTCCACATAGCTGTGTTCTTCAAATTTGTGACAAAAGACCAAAAAAAGATTATTAAAGTTGAAATAACAACTAAATTTATGTGTTAATTTAATCTACTGACGCTCGGTACATTTTTATTATTTGATGTCGCTATTGAGACCACAACCATAACCTCTTCCGCCACCTTACCCATTTATAGTTATAAATACAAGTTCTTACATTCTTGTACAGCCACCAGCACGCGTAGCGTTTCGGGCAGGTCCTTAATCCTAATTTTCACCGGAATACGACCTGCCAAATCGTTTAACAGCCTGGTAGCCATTCACTGCTGGGTAAATAGAGACTAGAATTAAGGATTGGCGCCCAGTCAATCTTCCCCGGCCAGGATACGAACTCAGGCCAAAATGTTTTGAGTCCTCTGGTAAGGTAAGGGGAGGGGACTTTAGTACGCCAGTTTCTTGACGATCGGTAACCTTAGGAGGACGGGCTGCAAAAGTAGGTCTCCTGAGGCTAGATTCACGAAGCAGTTACGTAAACACTTACGAACCTGTACATCTTTCCTCAATCTTTGGCGGCTTTGTTTACAATTATTAAACGGTTAATGAGCTCGGAAGCACCAGGAGGCTGTTTATAACAATAACAACAGTTGATTGGCAAGTTTTCATACTTGTAAACTGTTTAATAAATGTAACCAAAGCCGTCAAAGATTGAGAAAAGATTTACACGTTCGTAAGTACTTGCGTAACTGCTTCGTGAATCTTGCCCCACGTGAGAGGTCTCTCCGAGCTCTCCAAATTCCTCTTCTCACCCGGGGTCTAATATATTATTACTTGGGTTTTCAAATAGGTCGAACGCAGCTGGAATAGAGGCCAAGGAAAACGCAGCGTTTAAAACTGACAAAACATTTACTGAGAAAAGATGTACACTTGGCAAGAGTAACTTGTCTCATTTAACTTCAAAACAACTAGTCGCTCTCGACCTTCAATAAATCGCCTGGCGTTCCGCGAGCGCTATGTCATGGGTTCGTATCCTGGCCGGGGAGGATTTACTGGGCGCAAATCCTTAACTGTAGCCTCTGTTTAACTCAACAGTAAAATGTGTACTTGGTTGTAACAACGATTCTTCGCGGCGGGGATCTTATTCCAGGGACCTGCCCGAAACGCTACGCGTACTAGTGGCTGTACAAGAATGTAACAACTCTTGTATATATCTCAAAAAAAAAAAAAAAAAAAAAATCAATGCACTTTACTCGATGAATATAATGTTACTTTAACATTCAAATATGACTCAGAACAAGAGGCTTCGTAATTACTCTATTTGAATCACAAAACATATAACAATAATAATCATTCAATTTGACAAGGCTTCTAGAACAATGCCAACATAATAGACTAATTCACTTGCATATATAATCCTGTTGCTTCCTGGCATGTAACATTATCTCATTACAAATCTTATCAATTCCCTTTGGAACTTGTAATCAACAAAGGAAGTAAGGGAAGAGCAGATTACTTAACTAAGAACAGCCGCTGATGTTTACACAGTAGCCTGGCACTCCCTTGTGGCGCTCAGCTCACTGTAGTCTTCGCTGCCTCAATTATATTATTATTAACATCTTTAATGACATAATTAATTACAATTTTGCCTAATCTGAGGATTTTGATGAAGTCTTATAAAGTGCCTCAATGACATTTTATTGTTGTCGCCAGAGTTGGCTAGTTTATTGTGCACCCCATACTCCTCCTGTGAGCGGTAGTTTATTGTGCACCCCATACTCCTGCTGTGAGCGGTAGTTTATTGTGCACCCCATACTCATCCTGTGAGCGGTAGTTTATTGTGCACCCCATACTCATCCTGTGAGCGGTAGTTTATTGTGCACCCCATACTCATCCTGTGAGCGGTAGTTTATTGTGCACCCCATACTCATCCTGTGAGCGGTAGTTTATTGTGCACCCTATACTCATCCTGTGAGCGGTAGTTTATTGTGCACCCCATACTCATCCTGTGAGCGATAGTTTATTGTGCACCCCATACTCCTGCTGTGAGAGGTAGTTTATTGTACACCCCATACTCATCCTGTGAGAGGTTGTTTATTGTGCACCCCATACTCATCCTGTGAGAGGTTGTTTATTGTGCACCCCATACTCATCCTGTGAGCGGTAGTTTATTGTGCACCCCATGCTCCTGCTGTGAGCGGTAGTTTATTGTGCACCCCATACTCATCCTGTGAGAGGTTGTTTATTGTGCACCCCATACTCATCCTGTGAGCGGTAGTTTATTGTGCACCCCATACTCATCCTGTGAGCGGTAGTTTATTGTGCACCCCATACTCATCCTGTGAGAGGTAGTTTATTGTGCACCCCATACTCCTGCTGTGAGCGGTAGTTTATTGTGCACCCCATACTCATCCTGTGAGAGGTTGTTTATTGTGCACCCCATACTCATCCTGAGAGCGGTAGTTTATTGTGCACCCCATACTCATCCTGTGAGCGGTAGTTTATTGTGCACCCCATACTCCTCCTGTGAGCGGTAGTTTATTGTGCACCCCATACTCCTCCTGTGAGCGGTAGTTTATTGTGCACCCCATACTCCTCCTGTGAGCGGTAGTTTATTGTGCACCCCATACTCCTGCTGTGAGCGGTAGTGGACAGGATGAGCATGGGGTGCTTCTTCACCCTATCCTTCACACCTTATAACATCAGCTAGTTACAGAGAATCTTCTATTTCAATAGCTATATATTTGGTTAATCATTATACATTAACAGTAGGTCTTTTCGCTGATACATAATTGTTTGAACAATGGAGCCGGTGGCTGTGCGGACAGAACACTGGACGCGTGATCCTGTGGTCCCGGGTTCGATCCCGGGCGCCGGCGAGAAACAATGGGCAGAGTTTCGTTCACCCTGATGCACCTGTTACCTAGCAGTTAATAGGTACCTGGGAGTTAGTCTGCTGTCACGGGCTGCTTCCTGGGGGTGGAGGCCTGGTCGAGGACCGGGCCGCGGGAACACTAAGCCCCGAAATCATCTCAAGATAACCTCAAGATAAGAGATGGAGATATTACAGTGTCATAAGGGAGCTGCTGTTTGTTATTAGTCTTCACAATACACTACTTGCTTCTTAATCTCATATGTCGTTTATCTACTGGAAGAGAAATATGGATACAGTGCAAGGATTTCAGGTATTTTATTCTTAGTAATAAAATGGTTTGCCATATCATACAACGTGAGTTTAGATTTATCTCTAAATGGCTCAATTTTACTACAATCCAAGATATAGTGTTCGAGTGTGTGTCCCTGTCTTTGTCCACACACTTTACACTTTACTTCATCTAGATCCCTATACAAGCCGAACTGCCAGAGATACTTGTAGCCAAGTCTTATACGATCTGTGACAACATCTGTTAGTCTACTGACTGTTACTTGCCCCATACACATGTTTTCTTTAACACATTTCATTGTGATGAACAATGGACCTGCTAGTTCCAGTTTGCACTGCTCTACTTTCTTCAAATTCATCCAAGAGTTCTCTTCTAATGACACTTTTAAGGGACCTATTTGATAACTCAAGATTCCGTTCAACACTGTCTTTACTTACTGCAACCTTAGCAAGGGCGTCAACGTTATCATATTCCAGCAGGCCAACGTGAGTAGGAATCCACAACACACTCTTTCCGGTCGTCCTGGTTGTATTCCACAACACACTCTTTTCGGTCGTCCTGGTTGTATTCCACAACACACTCTTTTCGGTCGTCCTGGTTGTATTCCACAACACACTCTTTTCGGTCGTCCTGGTTGTATTCCACAACACACTCTTTCCGGTCGTTTCTGGTTGTATTCCACAACACACTCTTTTCGGTCGTCCTGGTTGTATTCCACAACACACTCTTTCCGGTCGTTTCTGGTTGTATTCCACAACACACTCTTTTCGGTCGTCCTGGTTGTATTCCACTGGCCACAGTGTGGCCTTGTAGATCAACTTGTAGGCTTACGACCTTCATCGACTCTTGAGCTTGTCGGGGCTGCCTCCGGAACTCGGCGGTTAATCATTTGCGTTGATCTACCGTAGTCACAAAGGGTACTTGTACTCGCCTTATGTAGACCTCAGGCATACTGTCGGGCATAAACACCATTAGCCGATCCATTCACTGTCTAATCACATTTCAACCTTCACGAAAAGGTTCTTAGACGCTGTGTGTGTGGCCGGAGTACTGTTGCACTTCTCCTCACGCTCAACTCGCCAAATAAATCGCAAATCTGACAGATTTTCACAGTAACTCTGGCGTGCCACCAGTCCTTGGTCAGTGACTTCAGCTCCAATCCCTAAGCCCAAATCGGTGCCTGCTGATGATGTCATAAAAATGAACGTTGATTGGTTGAGCACCTGGGCCACTATCCACTCACCCCTTTAGTTATGGAACCTTGAGGCGTGCGTCGCTGCATCAAGAGGGTACCCGGATGTCCCACCTATCGCCCAGCGCCATCTTGTTTCCGCCTCCGACCCACTTCCAGCCTTTATAATTAAAATACACCCCAAAAACGTGCTAGTTGCACGTTACCTATTATCTGTAAGTAATGTTTAGTCCGTCTGTGATCTTCCTAGGTGGGGATAAATGACGATTGACGCCCGAGAGGTCTGCTACTAGACAGCAATCTTAACACAGGGCACACGTGTTAGGGACCAGGGCACACGTGTTAGGGACCAGGGCACACGTGTTAGGGACCAGGGCACACGTGTTAGGGACCAGGGCACACGTGTTAGGGACCAGGGCACACGTGTTAGGGACCAGGGCCCACATGACAGGGACTAGCACCAAGGAACACAACCTCCCCCCCCACCACCACCCCCTGACAGATGTAACCAGCGTGTCTTCAACAGGAGTTCCGGTGCGAGTCTAATGCACTGTACGGAGCGGACCCCCTCACCTGCCGCCCTGACGTGGGGACCCCCGACCCTCACCGGCCCCTAGGGCCCAGTGACTACCGGCCCTCGGCCACGGTCGCCCCTTCCTTCTCCAGACCTGACTTCACACCGCCCCACTGGGGGCCCTGGAGGCCGGCCTCCACCTGTCGCTTCAGGTACGTTGCTGCTACCTCCAGATAAGTGCAGGTTGAGTACTATGGGGGACAGAGTGAAGGAACAGTGTCCAATCACTCGGGTTATCGGTGATCGAACGCCGACTCTGCAAGATGGCCCTGCCGTCGCTCTAAAAGTCCAGTCCAATTGCATGGTTTTGGACGTGATAGGAATAACTAGGTGTCTGGTAACATTGTTGTGATAATCTGAGTTACCAGATAGTATATTATTTTTGTAATTTGTATAGATGTGTATGATTATCTCTTTCTCCCGCTACCTCTAGCTGCCTGACGCCGCCGGCCAGAGGCATCCAGCTGGTGAGCCGGAAGTGCCAGGACCGGGGATGTACCGGGGTCAACAAGAACATCCAGATCTGCACCCCGGCCAGCCCGGTAGGTCATCACTCACGCCTCTACGGGATCACCATAGCCCGTGCTACTTGAAACTTTTTGTTCCAGGTAGCGAATCTTAAACAACAACAACAACAACATGCCTCTACGGTACATTACTAGTCGCTCTTTCTCATAATTTATCATCCCGATTCGTTTTTTTTAAATGCAGTTTAATAAGTATATTGTATTTTTCTCTTGATCACTGTGCTAACCTATTGGTGCTTGCCTATCAGTGTGGACGGGGTGAAGTGTGGTCTAGCACTTTATGCCTGCCTGCTGGCCTTATCTTGAGGTTATCTTGAGATGATTTCGGGGCTTTTTAATGTCCCCGCGGCCCGGTCCTCGACCAGGCCTCCACCCCCAGGAAGCAGCCCGTGACAGCTGACTAACACCCAGGTACCTATTTTACTGCTAAGTAACAGGGGCATAGGGTGAAAGAAACTCTGCCCATTGTTTCTCGCCGGCGCCTGGGATCGAACCCAGGACCACAGGATCACAAGTCCAGCGTGCTGGACTTGTGATCCTGTGGTCCTGGTACCTGAAGTAGAAGAGGTCAGCTGTGAGGACTGGTTAAGGGGTCAGGGTCAGAACATGGGGTAACAGGCCGGGAGAGGCGGGGAACGAGAGGTCACAAGAGGAGAGGGGAATAGACCGAGGGGGTCAAAGATACAAGTTGAAAACACGCGAGTCAGAGATATATATACGAAAGTAATTACTCATATGAACTGGAAATTTGTGATGGAAGTCACCTTCATACAAAGATTTAAAAGTAGATCTGATTGTCCACCATAACTTCAAGAATGATATTTACATTGTGGGGTGGAGCCCAAGAGCTGAAGCTAACTACCCGTAGGCACAGACACACTCCCACACGCCGCAGAAGGAAGGCTGACAGGGTTCACACCATTGGACAACGCCGCAGAAGGAAGGCTGACAGGGTTCACACCATTGGACAACGCCGCAGAAGGAAGGCTGACAGGGTTCACACCATTGGACAACGCCGCAGAAGGAAGGCTGACAGGGTTCACACTGTCATGTTCACAGAAAATGGTACCATCCGTTTTCTATGTGTAGCGGAGCAGACGCCAGAGAGAGGAGGTAAACAGGAGAGCGTACAGGACACCCGCCAAGCTTGGTAGCTACTAGTCATGTAATCATATTAAGTATTAAAGTCAGTAACCAAGTCATGACTTTACATCAACCCTACAACCAAGACTTCCTCAGTAACACACAAACACCACATTGGCGACGAGGATGAACTGTGAACGCAGGTATTTGTTCAGTTTCAAACACAAGGGAGAAGCATGCTGCCTGGAGGAGGAAGAGAAGCTGTGAGCGCCATACCCGATGCTGTATGCTAACCGATGCTGTGTGCTAACCAATGCTGTGTGCTAAACGATGCTGTGTGCTAACCAATGCTGTGTGCTACCCAAGCTGTGTGCTACCCAAGCTGTGCTGAAGAAACTGTACTGAGGAATCTGCCGACGTTGTGTACGAAACGACGCTTTGTTGTGTACAAAACCTGATGTTTTGGTTACGAAACGACGCTTCGTGCTACAAAATTCATCACACTGTACCAACTGCTGCACCAACTGCTGCTGTACCAACTGCTGCTGTACCAACTGCTGTTTTGTACCAACTGCTGTGCCAACTGCTGTGCTGCTGCTGTGAGTAGGAACAACACATGTACACAAGGGCTAGGTAAGAAGTCAGTTGCTGCTATATTGTGCACTGTTGTGAACTTTTGCATTAAAATGCTTGTGTGCTTTGCAAAATTAAAGTAATTACAGTGAATTCTTGACTAACATATACAGTGCAGTAAGTGTTTAATATTCTGAGGAACATTTAAGTGATAAGTTACATTTATTCAGTAAAAATGGCAAATATACCTCAGTTTCCTGCATTTGATCCTGACTGTGATCAGACAAACCTGTCACAGAGGTGGGTCAAATGGCTTAAAAAGTTTGAAAATTTGTTGATAGTTTCTGACATCAAAAGTGCTGAAAGAAAGCGTGCCTTTCTACTTCATTTTGCAGGTGATAGAGTTTGTGACATCTTTGACACACTGAAAGACACTGGTGGTGCCAAAGATTATGACACTGCCAAAGCCAAACTAACAGAGCATTTCAAACCAAGGCAAAATACTGCAATGGAAATTATGCATTTCAGGAGAGCAAAACAACTCTCTAATGAAACTGTGGATCAATACCACACACGTCTGCAGGGTTTAGCAGCCCATTGTGAGTTTGCTGATGTTGACAAAGAAATCAAACAGCAAATAATTGAAACATGCACATCTACACGTCTCCGTCGAAGAGCTCTAGAACTTGTTGATGATGAAAGTTCTCTTACCAAGATACTGGATATGGCTCGTCGAATGGAAGATGCTGCACGTGATGCTCGTGTCATGGAGTGCAGTGCTAATAACGGTTCTGCCACTGTTACTAACAGTGATGAGGTACGTAAGGTTCAGGGAGGACACCGTGATCAAAGAAGATATCATGGCAAACCTAACAGTAAATTTAGCCGAGAACCACGTCACAACTGGGGTCAAGGAACAAGGCTCAAGCAGTCACAACGACCCACATCAGAGGGTGTCAACAATAAATGTTACAATTGTGGAGGAGACTACCCACACCAAGATAATGTTTGTCCTGCTCAAGGTAAGAAGTGCTATGAGTGTGGAAAACTAGGTCATTTTGGTGCTATGTGTCGTTCTGCACTAAAGAAACCACAGTCAGTGAATAAAAGCACTGTACGAGGATCAGGTCATAGGGGTCGAGGTGGTAAACACAATATTGCACCTCATATCCAGAATGTTAATAATGTACAAGACAACATTTCATTACAACCAGTCTCAGATGACAGTGAATGTGATTATACTTATGGAGTACAAGCAATCACAGAATGGAATGATCTTCCAAACAACCCAGAGACATGTGTATACATTGCTGGTATTTGTCTCAAAGTTCTCATTGACACTGGATCAAACATTGATACCATTGCTGAGTGCCACTATGAAAAATTTAAAAAACAGTTCCCAAAGCTTGAAAACTATAATGGCAAAGCCACTGCCTATGCTTCGAAGTTAGCCTTGCCAGTGATTGGAACTTTCACTGCAGAGATTAAGTCAAAGAATGCAATGCTCATTACTACATTCCATGTTGTTAGGAATGCAAAGGAGTCTTTACTCAGTTACAAGACTTCAACCAAATTGGGGCTACTTCAGCTTTCTAATGCTGTAGCAGTGGAATCTGCAAACAATGTTGATGGTATTGTTGCTGAATTTTCTGATCGATTTAAATCCATAGGTTGTTATACTGATAGCAAAGTACATCTGCATATCAACCCAGATGTAATTCCAGTTGCCCAACCACATCGCCGACAACCATTCCATACTCGCAAGAAAGTCGATGCTGAACTGGATAGGCTGATAGAACTAGATATCATTGAACCAGTAACAGGTCCAACACCATGGGTAAGCCCAATTGTCACTCCACCAAAGCCGAAGAATCCAGATGAGATACGCATTTGTGTGGACATGCGTGTTCCCAACAAGGCAATAATGCGTGAACGCCATCCTACACCGACTGTAGATGATATGATCTACCGCTTGAATGGTGCAACTATATTCAGCAAGTTAGATTTAAACAAGGGCTATCATCAGCTTGAACTTGATGATGAGAGTCGCTTCATCACAACGTTTACGACACATCGAGGTCTGTATAGGTACAAGCGCCTGAGTTTTGGTATTAACAGTGCTGCCGAGGTATTCCAGCACACCATCAGCCAGGTATTGCAAGATATACCTAATGCTGACAACATGTCTGATGACATCATTGTTTATGGCCGTACCCAAGCTGAACACGACAAAGCTCTTCGTGCAACATTGCAACGCTTACGAGAAAAGAATTTGACGCTAAGCCGAGCAAAGTGTGAGTTCAATCAACATAAAATTGAATTCTTTGGACATGTACTTAGTGACAAAGGTCTGTCTAAAGATCCTAAGAAAGTTGCAGATATCAAGAATGCTGCACCTCCTTCAACGTCCACTGAAGTACATAGTTTTCTGGGAATGGCAAACTACTGTTCTCGCTTCATTCCAGATTTTGCTACCATTACAAAGCCTCTACGTGAGCTCCTGAAGAAAAATGCATCATGGTACTGGAGCGATATCGAGCAAAATGCATATGATGCTGTGAAAGATGCACTAGTAGAGAATGCGACTGCTGCATACTTTGATCCATCAATGGACACTGAGTTAACGGTGGATGCTAGTCCTGTTGGATTAGGTGCTGTTTTAGCCCAACACAAACCTGGTCAACCAGATTCCAGAGTAGTAATTGCCTACGCCAGCCGTTCTCTCACAGATGTTGAGCAACGATACAGTCAGACAGAGAAGGAAGCTCTTGCTCTTGTATGGGGCTGTGAACACTTCAATGTGTATCTGCTTGGTGCGCCCTTCACCACGATGGTCACTGACCACAAACCGTTGGAGACCATCTTCAATAATCCAAAGTCCAAACCACCAGCTCGCATTGAGAGATGGGCTCTTCGTCTGCAACCATACAACTTTACGGTGAAATACAAGCCGGGTGCAGGCAATCCCGCTGATTACATCAGTCGACATCCTGCCAACAGTTTCACCATCACCAAGCATCAGCAAGTTGCCGAGGAATATGTACACTCTGTAACCTGTGATGCAGTCCCTAAGGCTCTTACTCTTGATGAAATCCGTACTGCAACCCTAGAGGACCCAACTCTGCAAGCAACAGTGGATGCATTGACTAAGAAAAAGTTTCCACGCATCCCACCCTCAGGAGTTGACCAAGATGCATTCAAAGCACTTGAACGCATCCAGACAGAATTAAGTGTTACGCAACAACGCGACACTGTGCTGCGAGGTACTCGTATCGTGATTCCAGCTGTTCTCCAGCAACGTGCTCTGAAGCTTGCACATCAAGAACACCAAGGTCTTGTTAGGACCAAACAGCTGCTACGAGAAAAGGTGTGGTTTCCTGGCATTGATCGTCAAGCAAAGGATATGCATGATGCCTGTGTCCCTTGCCAAGCTGCAGTGGATACTTCAAGACCAACACCTCTACAACCTTCACCACTACCTGCTGCACCATGGACGGAAGTATCGATGGACTTCTGCGGACCACTACCAACTGGAGAGTACTTGATGGTAGTCATTGATGATCACTCACGTTATCCAGAAGTAGAAATCATGAATTCCACATCTGGAAAGGCCGTCATCCCGAAACTTGACAAGATCTTTTCAAACTTTGGCATTCCTGAAGTTGTCAAGACGGACAATGGACCGCCATTCAATGGACAAGACTTTGTCAACTTTGCTGAGCATATTGGATTCAAACACCGCCGTGTGATGCCACTACATCCTCAAGCAAATGGAGAAGTTGAGAGATTCATGCAACCTCTCATGAAAGCGGTACGCTGTGCTCATGCCGAAGGACGATCCTGGAAACAAGCTATGTATGCTTTTCTCAGGAACTACCGTGCAACACCGCATGGAACACTGGGCAAGTCACCTGGTGAACTTTTATTTGGACGTCCTATGAGAATCGCACTACCCGTCATGCCAGCCGAGGTAACGGATAAACGTCTCGCTCAGAAGGATGCACTAGCCAAGGGCAAAATGAAAATTGCTCATGATCAACGT